CTTGAAGAGGCAATTCCTTTTTACAGAGAGCTCCTTAGCATCATGGATCACCCATTGGCTACTAAACATCAGAAAAACCTTTGAAATGCTCTCTGGCAATGACTTAATGTATAAAAATGTACCCACATCCAGCCTTCACAGAGCTTCAAAGGTTTGCCCAGAATCTGTTGCAAGAGAAAGAAAGAAAAAAGTAGTTTCCATTTACTGGTGCACAACCAATAGAACTATCACAGCTGTGGCACAGGCAGGGATTACCAAATCCAGTGCAGGGAAAAAGGGTAAAGGAGAATTAAAAGCAAAAAAGAGCAGGACTAAAAAGACATCCTTGCATGAGCTAAGAAGGATGCTCACAGGGACATTCCCTGCTGTTCTTGGTGCAACACAACTCATTATCCCCTTAGGCAATAGGAAGGGGATGGCCAAAGCAGAAGTCAGCACTCTCCTAAAGCAAGCTGAGAGTGTATTTCTCACCCGCAGCAGCAAAGGAAGGAGCATTTTCAAAAATTCATCTTCTCCTGACCGTATCTTCTCAAAGCACTCGAGAACCCATGTCAGGAATTCATGCCGGTCCAGCATGCCATCCTGCACAGATAAAAGCAGAGGAAATGGATGAAAGCTGAAGTAACCTCCACTAAGGTAAGGCAGAGCAGCAGCAACTTGCACTCCAACAACGGAAATAACTCTGGAAGCTTTCACAGTTCTGTGCTAACCCTGTCCTATTACTGAGCTCTAAACTGCATCTAGTCCTAGTGGTCGATTCACAGAAAGACCAGAAAGATGCAGAAATACATCACTTGGCATCAACTCCCCTTGCCATCCTCTGCCCACACCGACCCAGCAGCCCTTACCAGTCCCTCACCTGGAACATGAACATAGCTAGTTTTTCATTGTAGTCCCACTGCTTCAAAGCCTGTTCCACCTCTTGAGGCATTGGTCCCGATGGTGAACCACAGCCTTGCCCTGGGAGCTGTCTGTAGAACTCTGCAATTTTCTGCAGCTGCTCTGACAGGTACTTGGTGATGATCTGTGTCCATTCTGGAGAAAACAGATTAGCAGTGAGCACCGTGGCAAAGAAGAGCAGGAAAGAACCAGGATGGTGCATAGGTGGAAAGCCAAAAAAAAACCAAAACAAAACAGAACACAGTTAGGGGAACTCTTCTAGACCACAGCAATCTGGAGCAGGCCAGGATGCAAAGGATGCTGGATCCAATAACACTTAATGAAATTGAAAACACAGACAGGGAGTAACATACCAAAATTCTCTGGGAAATGTACATACACACTTGGGAAGTAGCTAATCAGTCACCACTAAATTGCAATTTTACAGTCTTTGTAAGGTAAGAAAAAAACAGGTTAGGCAGCAAAGGAGCTCAGTAGAACTTAATAGGGAGAAAGAAAAGTAAGGCTCCCAGAAAATGTTTACGGCTGTTAAGACTTATTTTTCAGTGTACTTTCACAGGTGGGCCTGTTGTTCAGACACCTACATCAGAACCCAAGGACTTATCAGCAGGAAACAACTTCATATGGATTTCCAGGCCACCTCTTACTAATCAAGAGCAGGCTTAGAAGGAAACAGCTGTGATGGACAAACTCAGTGCTGCACACATAATGCTTACCAATGAAAGGATCAATGACATGACGCTTTTTCACCTTTGTTTCAGTGATGGCAGCATAATAGGCACAAGTCATTTTGATAAGCCACGCTGCTCTCATTACTGGAACAGTGTATTTTGCCAAGTAACCAAAGACCTCTTCTTTCTTGCTAAAGATGGGGACCTATAATGAAATGGAGAGGGAAAAGTGAACCAAGCATTTAGAATAAGAACTGAAGCAGCTTAAGCAGCTATACCTGCTACAGGTGTGAAAAAGGTAAAAAGGGTACAGTGCAACACACTACTTCTACCTCAAAAAAGCCTGCTGCCAAAATTCACCTGTGGTCAGAAAGCAACAATACCAGAGCTGCATTTCAGTATAAACAGAAACAAAACAAATTGAAAGAAGACATAAAATGTAATTGCGTCACTGTAATCCATGCCCTGAGTCCTGCACACATTTTGTGCTCCAGAGAGCACATAAAGAGCTATGAAAGATACAGACTAAGGACTGAGTCAGTAACAGAGTATCTGCCATACAAAGTGAAGACAAAACTCTTCACTTTGTATACAAAACTGTGTGGTTACAGAAATCTCACAATATCATGAATACTCAACAGAAGACGGGGAGAAGCAGGGAACTTAGTACATAGTAGGAAGGAATTAATTTATCCAAGATTCAAAATCCAAGATACAACATGAGCGGATACCAGTGAAATCAGACTGCAGGGCTATAAACCAGGAAGCAATAACATATCACAGGGAAAAGTACAGCTATGGGACTCATTCCCACACAACGCTCTGGAGAGCAAAAGTATGTGTGTTTTCACAGAGGAATGAAAAAAAATCACAAAAAACAGGCTCATTTTGCAGGTATCTTCAAGTCCCTGAAATACTGATGTTCATTTACCTGCTATGTTTCCCACATTCTTCCCGATCACTCTCAGATGCCTCAAAGTCAGACTACTTGGCTACTGACAGTCACTCTTTCACATCTAAGTTAATGAAAATGGATGGAGCTCATTGCAGGAAAACTGGAGAAAACCTTGAAAGGTTCAAGCTTTCACCATGACCTCAGGAAACTGACAGCCAAAATGCAAAGAACGACTAAGTTTATAAAGAGTCAGATTCTGGGAACATCCGATTACTTTATTTCCCCCCAGGAATGACTCAGACCATTTTGCAACTGGGATTTATGTTTTTTCCACAGTACATACCAGATTCACAAGTACCTTGTTTGTAGGCCTCCCCTGAGAGAGAGCTATCTCCCTTGCTATCAGGCCTGATAAAATGCCAGAGTGAAACCCTTCTTTCATACTCTACAGAATTCACAGCTATAAAGGAAGTATCTATCCCTAGACTCCAGGGCATAGAAATACTGAAGCCTGGCCAAGACCAAGTGATAGCACACATACCCTCCTCCCTTGAAAAGCAGAAACACCTCACTGCAACAGAAGTCTGGGAAGCAATTTAGATGATTATTTTCAGTAATTCCCACTGTGACTTTTAAGAACTTGAGAAACCCTCTACAACAGAAATGTCCTAATCTAAACAACAGATCAAAGGCAACAGTGGCAGCTCTTCTGAAAAACAACAAAAACTTAAAATAAATCAGTTGTGTCCTACAAGCCAAAAGGCAAAGCTGAATGGACTTATAAATAACAGAAAAGAGACCAGTTCTCAACGTGTAGATGACTACAGTCAGGGCACTACAAATCCTACATCCATTCTTCAAGCCGAAAGCTTCACAAGATGCATAGATAAGAAACTTCTCCCAACAATAAAGACCTTAAGAAAACCTCCAGAAACAAGCACAGATTAAATTCTCTGCCCTGTCAGGCTGCCTCTCCTGTAACATACCTTCTTAGCAAGATGAGTGAGGGGCTTAGTTCCAGACAGATCTGTGAACCAGTTGTTTATGGCACTCTGAGAACGTGCTGTCACCAGCCAAAAGTTATCCTTCTGATTGACCTGGGGTTTCCGTCTCCCCGTGTCAGGCAGGGTGTTGCACCGCAGCTTTTCTGCAATAATGCTGCTAAAATTTGAGCTGATCTGGAGGAGGGAAAAAAAAAAAAAAGGATCAATTACATTTCAGAGCTCAAAGACCTGATCAGTGTGCTTAAAATACCATTTACCATTCCTATCAGAAGTCTCATCAGTATCAACTTTTGAAACACAAAATAACTGCCAATAACTCCTTTGTTATACTTGCAGAGATACATGTGTCTAGATAACTCATACAATAGTCAAACACGGACTCAAGTTGAGATGGACACAACCCTTTAAAAATACTTGTCAAACCAGACAGAAGGCTTCTCAGACAGAAGTCAGCCAAGGAAAATAAATATCCTGTGCTTATTGATTGCCTTCCAAACCAAGTCATTACTAGTTGTTTTGCCAGGAAGTCAACATCTTGTTTTCAGAGACTGGAAAAATGGAGCTGAAGCCTATTACATAACTCCCATTTTTAAACTTCCAGATGTTTCAAGAAATCGTTACTTTCCTTTTACCATGGCCATAATGTAACCAAACCAATAAGGAGCTTCCTTCTCCTACTATCATAGCCTTGTGCTCTAATTGCACAATTTTAGGAGTCCTAGATATTGGCTTAACGAAAACTGCAGACACAGACCTGCCCCTAAGACGCACTGAGACAAACAAGAACCCGCTCTCTTAGAGGTGGGACAGTCCTAAACGAAAGGAGAACTTGGATTCTACTGAAACAGAGGATCAAGTCTTAAAACCAGCCATACAAAAGGGAAAAATCTCCTAGTTCTCGACACAGGGAGGGAACGAGACCCAAGACTGTCAAGGATCCAGCAGCCTGCCCTGCCAAACCCACTCCTCGACCGTTGGGATGTCTCTCACCTTCGCCGGGTTGAAATTGACATTTTTGGCACTGCCGTGCTCGTCCCCAGAGACCGCCGGCTGGTTATTGAAGCCTTGCTTGACATTCAGCGCAGTCAGCTCATCCTGCGGGGGAAGGACGGTCAGCAGGGCCCGGCACGGCCCCTCCGCGCCCACCGCCGAAGCCTCTGTCCCCACAGCGGGGGCTGAACAACAAGAGGCCCGGCTACTCCCTCGACCTCCCCCAGCCCTCGCTATCAGGCACCGCCCAGGGTAGTGCTGGGATACGGGGACCGCGGCTCCTCCGGCCTGGCCAGCGCCCCTCAACCCCGGGGGACCCGGCGGGACGGAGCCCGCTCGCCCAGTTCCCGGCCCTAGCGCCGCTAACCCGGCGCTTCCTCAGGTCCGGCCCGGACACAGCGGTCCTGCACCCCAGGTCCTCCCAACACGCCCGGTCCCCACACCTCCTTCTGCTTGGGGTCCTGCGGGTACACATCGGGCGGGCCGAGGCGCGGGCGCTTGAGCGGGCGGTGCTCGTAGCTGAGGACGCCGAAGGCCGCCATGGCGGGCCGGCCGGGCGGGGGCGGCCGGGCCACAACAAGGGCCGCTGGGGCCGCCCGCGCCTGCGCGTTGCGCGCTGGGCCGGGGCAGATGGGCGCCGCCGAAGCCGGGGCGAAGGAGCACGGAGAGCACCGAGCGTGGCCGGAGAGCACCGAGTGTTGCCGAAGAGTGACGAAAATTGACGGAGGGGCCCGAGTACTGCTGTGACTGCACCGAGGAAAGACGAAGAGCACCGAGCATAGCCGGAAAGATCCGACAGTAGCCGGAGAGAGACGAGCGTCCCCGAAGCAGGGACGAGCGAGGACAAAAAGAGCTGAGAGACGGGAAGGCCCGAGCCCGCGCCGAGCGAAGACGAAAAGTGCAGAAGAGGGACGGGACAGACCGAGGGGCGAGCGCGCGCCCCCCAGCGGAGGCGCCGCGCCGGTGGCGTGTCCGGACAGGATCACGTGACACACCCGCCACCCCACTCGCCCCCCGCCCCCGATACCGGGGCACCCCCAGGACCCCGGCCAACAACACCCCTGGTGCGGCCATCATCGCACCGGCAACAGCCACCGCGAACACCGGCCATACTGTTACACACACAAAGCCCCACTATGACTTTCTCCCTGCAGTCGCTCCCCCCGACTGCCTCAGTGCCCCCAGTGATGCTCCCAGGGATCCAGGTGGGCTGGCCGTTGGGATCCCCATTCCAGCCATGCTCCTGGAGCAGCGCAGTGGCGGTGATCTCTACAGCACGAGCCATGGGAACACGGCAGGATTAATTGCGGGGTCCAAGAGGTGTGAGGTATGGGAACAGACAAGAAGGGTGATGCAGTCCGGGTGGAACAAGCCGTGGGGTGCCAGTGGAATGCACTGTGGGGTCCCAGTGGGTTAGCTGTGGTATCCTAGTGGGAGGAGCCATGGAGTTCCATTAGGACGAGCTGTGGGGCCCCACTGGAGTGAGCCATGGTCCCCATAAGGTGGCCCATGGGGCCACATAGGGAGGGCCCCCCGTGCAGGCAGTGACGTGGGGCAGGAAGCAGTGTGGTGCGGAAGCCGGCAGCCCTGGGCGAGGCTGTTCGCACGCGTCCCTGGTCAGCAGCCCCCATGGCAGCTCCTGGCACTTTCCTCATAGCTGTCCTCCTCTTCCTCTGTGGGCCAGGTCCCTACCCTGCTGCTGCCCACAGCCACCCAGGTAAGGGAGCACATGGGAAGGCCACGGGCCCCTTTCCACGGGAATGGAGCTCCCAGTGATGGCGGGCGAGGACAGGATGTGGGGCTGTGAGGGCTGGCGCGCTGTTGTGGCACCGGGGACCCTGCAACCCCTGATGTCCCAGGACCTGTGGAACATATAAGGCCCCTTGCAGTGGGGCTGTCAGGAGTGTCAGGCTATACCAGGGAGCCCTGTTGGGGGGTGTCCTTGGGCCCACTACAGTGCTGGAGCATTTGTGATCCCACCAGCCCCCTGGCTACTAGTCCTGCAGCACTCCTGCCCCATCACTCTAGTGGCAGATCCTATTGGTCTGCGCTACATGTGGCTGCTGGCCAGGATGGTCAGTGGATCTGCACCAGCTGCCTTTTCCTTCCTGGTCACCTCAGTAATGCTGTGCACAGAAAGGGGACAGGACACAGAGGCTTTTCTTTCCACTGGCACTCTCATCCCAGCCACTGTTTTCTGAGAAAAAATCTACTCTTTTTCTGGCTGCCAGTAAAACAACAGCTTTCTGTGGAAAAAGCCCCTCTGTATCCCTGGACCTCCTGAGCTGGTGGGAAGCTGTCCTCCATCTCCAACATGTAGAAACAGCCTGTTTGCTCCATTGTGTTACATTACAACCCAGGAAAGGTCGACTCTGGCTTTCTCTTGCGCCTGCAGTGCTGGCTGATGAGTTTGATTCACACGGAGGGAGGCTCATAGGGATATGCAGGGATCTAGCATGTGCCATGTCTCTCCAGTGTACCCCTGGGCCCTGGCACAGCCACCCACCGCTTCCGTGCCCAGCAGTGTCTGTTGCTTGCAGGGGTGGAGTGTGTCCTCTTCAACGAGGAGTACATGATCTGCATGTGGGGGAGCAGAGAGATGCCCACAGTCAACTACTCCCTCTTCTACTGGTAGGTCCCCCTGCCCCATGGCCAGTCCTACAGCAGTGTCCAGCAGTGGGTCCCTGTGCAGGGGGGCTGCTGCCAGCATTGCTGGTCTTGGCATCAGGCTGCTCCTCCTCCCCAAGCCCAGGGTGGGGCAGGCTCTGTCTCCAGGTCAAGCAGGATGGGATGTGCTGGAGAGAGGGGTCCTGGCAAGGGCTGGGGCATGTGAGGCCTTGGGAAGTCCTGGTAACCCCCTGTGGCACAGGTACAGGAACGCGTCTGACAAGGAGGTGGAGTGCAAGCGCTACCTGCAGGACCAGGGTGTCAGGGTCGGCTGCTACTTCGAGCAGAACGAGCTCATCCAGTTCCAGCCTTTCCATGTTCTCATCAATGCCAGTGTTGCCGGCAAGACCCTGGAGATCCCCAGCAAGCGCATGGAGCTGCAGGACCTGGGTACAGAGTGGTGGAGGGACCCCCCTCTCCTCTGCAGGGCTATGAGTTCTCAGAGCTCTCCTGTGAGCTCCCAGATGGCAGCAGGGCCACTGGGCCATGCATGGGGCCAGCCCTCACTGGGCATTACCTGTCCCTTGCAGTGAAACCAGCGGCACCTGTCAACCTGACCATCCGCAACATGAGTAACAATCAGCTGCAGCTGACCTGGGCCTCCCCATACCCCAGAGACAAGTGTCTGGAGCACGCTGTCAAGTACAAGAGCAACAAGGACACCAGCTGGACGGTGAGAGCCCTGGGCACGGCACCCTTGTGGCTGTGCCTGGGGGTGAGCTGTGCACCAGCCTTCAAGGTGGTCCCAGCCAGCAGCACAGGGCTCATGTCCATGTCTCTGCAGGAGCTCTCAGTGAATGGAGACGTCTTCTCCTTACCCAGTGTGGACTATGAGAAGTCCTACACCTTCTATGTGCGCAGCAAGATCAACAAATACTGTGGCAGAACCCAGTTCTGGAGTGAGTGGAGCATCCCTGTCATCTGGGGCAGCAACTCTACCAGCAAGGGTATGTTCTGAGGGCTGCAATGGGATAGGATGGACTGGAGCATGGCAGGGCTCAGCAGGTGAGAGATGGCCAAGAAAGTAGAGAATGGCCTGAGGCAGCAGCTGTAGGGGCATGACCTATCTGGGCATGTACGGTGCCAGCAGCAGCATCCTTTGTACTTCTGGAAGCAAAACACCACCACCAGTGGGACCTGCTGACTTTTGCCAGGTGTTTCTTAGCACTGGAGGGCATTGCTGGGCCAGGACATGGTCAGCAGCTAGTTATGGTGATAGGATGGTAGGGCATGGGGACAGGCCCCTTCTCCATCCTCTGTTCCCAGCTGAGCCCTGCCGTGAGCAATGCCATGGCCATCCATGAAAGGCCGCCTGCAGGCCCACCCCACTGCCATGGTGGTGTGCTGTCTGGGGATCGGTGTCACCCCAGCTCTTTCCAGGCACGGTGGAGGAACAGCTGTACTGGTTTGGGATCCGCACGGTCTTGGTCCCCATTGCCTCCTGCCTGCTCCTGCTGGTCCTTGTCATCCTGCTGGTGCGCATGGAAAGGTGAGTGTGGGGAGCTGATTGGGGGCAGCAGCACTGGGGCTCTTCCCCTCTAACACACGTCTCCTGCACAGGGTATGGGTCATCCTGATGCCCCGAATTCCCAACCCCAGCAAGAATTTTGATGAGCTATTCATCACTCACAATGGCAATTTCCAGGTAAGGTGGTGTAGGCAGCCCTGCCCTGGGTTCACCCCTGCTGTGTGAGGTTGGGGCTGGGTTGGGTGGCGGCTCCTCTCACCCTGCTCTGCTCCCTGGAGGAATGGGCTGGAGTCCCCAAAGATGTTGTGGAGAGCTTCAAGCCAAACTACAGCGAGAACATCTGCTATGTGACTGAGCTGCCACCCAAGGACAGCCATGAGCCCCTCTGGGACAGCAGCAACCATGCACCACCTCCAATGCCTGTGCCTCCAGTCGCCCCCTGGTAGTGAGCATAGCCCCTACCAGAACAGCTATGGGAGAGTGTGACACACTCCTGCACCCCTGCATCCCTCATTCTCCACAGCTTTGCTGCCCAAACCTTACTGCTTCTCAGGCCCTACTCCCTGCCATGCCTCTGCCAAATGTCCTGGTTTTGCTTCCTGCATGTCCCCCTCCCTGTTCCGAGGTGCCCACAAGCACACCCAGGAACGCGTCCTGATGAGTGGGCAGCTGCAGCTGAACAGGCAGGGGCCACTGGCCAACTGATGGGGACACAGAATGAGGAGTCCCAGGGGGGTCAAGTGTGGAAAAATAAGGAAAAATAGGCAAGAAACATTGTAAAATGCTCAAGTGCCTTGCAGCTGATGTAGAAAAACACATATACCATACTCTTTGTTTAGCTTTGTGTGTTCATTAAGTAGAATTCTGTGTTTAGATAATACAGGCCTGTGATAGACTTAGTGGCACCTTATTTAACATGCTTTAGATTCCTGGCCTGCTGTGGGAAAGATCAAATCACAGTGGTAAACCACAACTGCAGAACTCCTTGATAAACAGGCAAAAACAGCAGGTTCAGTGATCCTCTAGGGTGAACCAAGATCCACAGTGCCTGTATTCTTGCTTATGTGCCTCTGCCTGGGTGCTGCTTGGGGGAATCCTCCAGTCGGTGAAGTAATGAAAATAAATTTCCTCTTTGCATTTCATCCATGGTTTCGTGGTTGTTCCTGTGTCCAGCCTGTGCTGGCTCAGACTGTGAGCCACTGTGTCATCCTGGCAGTTCCCCAAGGCCTCACTTCTCCTTTGCCTGTGTCCTTCATTTCCAGTGGCAGTAAAGATCTGTCCACCGGGGGTTTGCCCAGGCTCATCCTGCGGGGTCTGGGGAAAGCACCAGTGGAGCCCCAATCCCTGAACACCTCTGACCTCTCACACATAGTGAGATAGGGGCCAGTCCTACTGTCCCAGCCCTGCTGTCACAGTGGCAGCATGTTCATCAATCAACATTAAACACATGGATGAGTCCTCCCCTGGCTGTCTCACAGGGCTCCCTGCGCACTTGGGCAACGTGCTATGACCTCACTAGGCAGTGGGCTCTCCTCTGGGCTCTCCAACCACTTCTGGGGCTACCCAAAGCCCCTAGCCACTGCTGCTGTCCCTGCAGATGACCAGACCTTTCTAACCAACACTGACTACAGCCCTCTGCAGCTGCTCTTACAGAATCCCAGATTCAATTATGTTGGAGAAGACATTGGAGATCATAGAGTCCAACCTCTGTCCGAACGCCACCATGTCAACCAGACCACAGTACTGAGTGCCAGCTCCATTCTTTCCTTAAAGACCTCCAGGGACAGTGACTCCACCACCTGCTTGGGCAGTTTAATCCACTGTCTGATCACTCTTTCTGGGAAGAAATTCCTCCTGATGTCCAACCTGAACCTCCCCTGGCAGAAGGACATAAGACCACACTACCCCATCCTGTCAGTGTTTGCTTGGGAGAAGAGTGGGACCCTCAGCTGGGCCCTGGAACAGCCAGGCCCTGGGACAACCAGAGCCTGGGACAGGTGGGCCCTGGGACATCGGGACTCTGGCACATCTGGGTGCTGGGATAGCCAGGCCCTGGGACAGTGAGGCCCTGGCACAGGTGGGCCCTGGCACAGCCGGGTTCTGGGACAGCAGGACCCTGGCACAGCGGGCCCGATAAGGGTCCCCGGCCTTGTTCCCCTCCGCGTCCCGCGGTGCCCAGGAGAGGCGGCAGCGCCCCCCAGCGGCGGGGCAGCCCGAGCCCCGCCCACTCCGGGCGGGGGCGGGGCCTGCACGCCCGGCACCGGTAACTTTCCAGCCCTGCCCACGTGGTGCGGCGGCGGCCGCCCCCTGGCGGCGGCGATTGGCGCAGGCGGGCCCGCCCCCCGTGCCTGCCGCGGTGCCGGCTGTGCGCTGCCGGCGGCCGCACCGGGCGGGGGCACCGGCGCCGGGCACCGGGACTGCACTCGACACGGCACGGCACGGCTCGGCTCGGCACGGCACGGGCTCACCATGATCGTGTGTCCCCAGAGCGTGGAGCACCCCCGAGGAAGCCGATGCCAGCGGCTGCCGGGGCAGGTAGGACCCACCCCGCCGCCACCACCGGAGCCCGTACAGGAGCACCGGGCTTCGCCCTGCTCGCCGCCACCGGGCCGGCACGGCTGCAGCATCAGCAGGCCGGGACATTCTCGGGGCATTCCCGGTGGTGCGCGGGGCCGGCGAGACTATGATGTCACGATGCCGCGCCCAGCGGCTTGTCTTGGTCCTAGTCCTGCTCCTGGTCCTGCTCCCGGTGCCGGTGCGGCGGTGCCGTCCCCGTCCCCTTTGTGCGGGATGCGGGAGGCGCCGTGGCTCCATCACTGCCAATCAAACTTGTTTTTCTCTCTCCGCCTGCACTTCCTGCGCCGTTCACCGGGGGCGCTGCCGCCGCCGCCGCCCGCACAATGGGACCCCGGGTACCGGCCCGGGTACCGGCCGCCCGCACCGCCGTAGGGGCCCCTGCCGCGGGTGCTCGTACTTCCCCGTCCTCTCGAATACCCAGGCACAAGGGCCGGGCGAGAGGTGCTGCCGCGGCACCGTCTCCAGTGAATGTTACCAGAGAAGCAACCGGTACCGATGGAGCCGCGGTCTCACCGGGCGAAGGGATGAGCCCTGGCCGGGAGGGGAGCGCGGAGGGATCCGCTGACCCCTGTCCCGCTCATCCCGGCGCTGTCCGGGCTCCTTCAACCTCCTGCCTTCTTTATTTGTTCATGGCTGCCGGCCGGGAGCGCCGGGGCTCCGTTCCCCCGGCAGCTCCGCCGGGCGGAGAGGGGATGAGGTTAGTGGTCGGTACGCAATTGAGGTTCCCGTTAGAGTTCTGGGGGCTCGGACTCAGGAAGATTCCCCTGGGAAGGAAGGCGATGCTCCCACAGCCCAGGAATGCGAGTGGGTGCAGGGGAGGAGGAGGGCAGTGGCCAAGGAAGATGAGGAAGGTGGCACTGGGGCCAATGCGAGAGGCTGGAGAGGCAGAACTGAGGGAATGTGGCAGGTGGTGCTGGTAGGAGACACCCTGGGCTGAGCTGGTGCCTTTGGGAGTGGGCAGTTTAGCCTGGCTGACAGCCAAGGAGGTGGCTCTTCCACACCTTCATCCCCCCTTCCTTCCTCATCTCGTACCAAGACATATCTGCCTGCTTGCTTGCTCCATCATCACCTGGACAAGCAGAGTGAGGAGAGCTGGCAGCACCAGAGGCTGAGCTATGCGCTGTTTGCTCAGCTCCTTACTGGGGACCACCTTTCCCTGGGGGGAGTAGAAGGGCCCATAGCTCCTCCACCTCAGCCCTCCAGGAGCAGAATACTAGTGGCTGTAGACCCTCGGGTGTCTTCATAGCATCTCATTTCCCCAGGCAGAGAGACTTTGTACGGGGCTTTTGCAGGTCACTTCTGGCTTTCATCTTCTCCTGTCGATCAGAGAATCTGGTGTTTTTCATCTCTTTCCATTTTAAATTGAGTTTTGGGGTTTTGTCGACCCCTTTTACCAGAGGAAGTGAAGAGGAAACTCCAAATGTCATCGAGTAAATCTCTTGACACTTGAGCGATGGTGTTTCCATCAGAAGTGCAGCATGGTAGAAAATAGCCTGGGCTGCTTCCTGCACTGCCTGTGTGGGTGCAACTGCTTTGTGCTGCCACGCAGCTCACCCCACACAGCTCTGTCTGCCCCTCAACCCTGGGTGCTTTGCCATGCACTCTGTAGCTTTGGTGGTTTGCAGAGGTGCTCCTGGTTTTCTCCTGTACCACCATTGTTGCCATGCTCCAGTCACCAGCCTTTGGGTGACTGCACTGGAGAGACATGTGGAAGGAACAAGACAGTGGTGTCAGCAGGGCCAGAATTTCCCAAGAGAGATTTCAGTTCAAGCCCGGGAGAAGAAATGCATCCTTTGCATCCAAGGATACTGCCTGGGCTCCCACTTGCAAGCAGGAGCTGTGGCTTTCTGTGTGACAAGGGTTAGCACCTGCTGTACCCGTACCTCGAGGTGGGCAAGCTGCAAGTGCAGACCATGCTGTTGGGTGGGAATTGTGGCAACACGGTTGTTGGAGCACGGCAGCTGCCTGGGCATCTTTCCAACATTCCTGCCCTCTGTTTCCACTACCCTCTCAGGAGGGGCTGGAGCTGTGATGGACTGGGGCCCTGGTGCAAGGCTGGTGTGGGCATTGCTGGGGGTGTCTGGGCCACCCTTGCCGAGTTGCCCATCTGTGTTTTCTCTGGTGGGCACATTCAGAAACATCTGTGCTCTGTACAGGACCCACTCCCATGCTGTCTGGTTGGGAAACATGTGGGGAGCTCTTCTGTGTGCTCCTGATCACATGGAAGGTACCAAGACATGGTTTCCCTCTTGGCTTGCCAGGGCAGGAGCTTGGGAGCCCCTCTGCTATTTCCACAGCTCTCTCTCATCTTGGTACTGTGCAGGAGGGCTCTGTGCTGGTGGTAAGGCAGATGGGCTGCTCCATTCTGGAATGAATTTTGTGTCATGTTTCTCCTGATCCAGCCTTGCACCACTACAAGAAGCATCATTCCTGGTTTGCTCTCTGCTTCCACTCACCACGCAGAGCCTTCTCCCAGAGACCAACCTGTGTGTCTTGCTATTGTCCTCCCACTACCTGTGGCACTGAGCAGTGCTCTGCCTGTTAGCTATTAGTGTCCCTCTGGCAGCACCAAGCTGCGAGAGGGATCTCTGCCCCTTGCAGAGCCTGGGCTTGGCTGGGGTGTGCTGCTGCAGCCGAGGCTGCTCTGGTAAGAGCTAAGCAGAGCGTGTTTCCTGCAGGTAGTGAAGATGTCCAGCAGTGACCCCGAGTGCCCCCAGTTCCTTTTTGTGAAGGTGCTGGCAAGCCGAGGGCGGCTGGAGGCAGTGACCCAGCAGATGGGCTACCACCCACAGTACCTTGACAGCTTCCTCAAGACGCAGCACTACCTGATGCACATGGATGGCCCCCTGCCCTTTGACTGCCGGCACTACATCGCCATCATGGTGAGCCCTGCTGGGAGTTTGCCAGAGGGAACAGGGGCTCTGCTCAGCCCTGCGAGGCTCTTCTTAACCTCCAGCAGATAGCCTGTGCTATGGGCTTCTCATCAGGGGCCAAAATCATGGCCTCCTGGAGGCTGAGTGAGAGGTGGGTGTGGGATGCCTGTCCTGCTGAGGCAGTGCACGGATGCTGATGTGCTGCTCTTGCAGGCAGCGGCGCGGCACCAGTGCCGGTACCTGGTGAACCTGCACGTGCTGCAGTTCCTGCGGGCAGGGGGTGACCCCCAGTGGCTGCGCGGCCTCGAATTCATCCCCCCCAAACTCCGCAACCTCAACGAGATCAACAAGATCTTGGCTCACCGGCCATGGCTCATCACCAAGGAGCACATTGAGGTACTGGAAAGGGCTATCAGCCAGGGACCAGGATGGCAGTGGGGACAGCAGTGTCCCCGGGGCTGCCAGCACCCTGCCTTCCTGCCTGTGTCACATTGCTGGTCTGTCCATGTTCTGCAGAAGCTGCTGAAGATTAGCGAGTGGAGCTGGTCACTGGCGGAGCTGGTGCATGCCGTCGTCCTCCTGGCACACTGCCATGCGCTTGCCAGCTTTGTCTTCGGCTGTGGCTGCGAGCAGGATGAGGGGCTGGGGGGCCGAGGCTCACTGAAGCCACTGTCACTCGGGAACCAGTGCTT